GTTAGATGGTGAGTTCACATGTGACAGCAAATACAAAAACCTGAGCCTCCGTGGAACCATTTACTTAGTTTCTTGTGTCAACATTCCTCTTCTTGGCATTGATTGGATTAATAGATTGAATTTGCTCAAGGTGCCACTGAATAATGTGTTCTGAAACGAACGTCAGGGTGCATCATACAGCCATACCACCTATTCCAAGTAAAACCATTGCTGAACAGTTTCAGCTGAACAAGCTGCAGGCAAAGCTTACCCTGTTACCTTGTACTACACCAGTGTTTCAACCCAGGAGCCCGGTCCCGAAAGCATCACCTCGTACGAGTTCGGATATGGAAGCCCAGTACGACAGACGGTACGGAGCACGGCGCAGCAAGTTCAAAGTTGGAAACGCTGTGTTTGCAACCTCTCATCGATGGCGCCGAATAAACTGAATACCAGGTCAAGTCGTGGGACGACGTGGCAAAGTAATGTAGGAGGTTCGCGTTGGTAGGCAAGGATGGGTTCGTCATGCCAACCAACTGCGACCGCGGTTTGCAAAGATCCCACAGACACGCGACCCCAAAGGATTAGATTTCAATGAATTGTTATGCACTTTGCACCAATGCACCTCGACCGGACAGGATACGCAACTCGTGGAATGGACTGAAAATGAACACCGACTAAGGCCACAACGTGTAAGAAGATGCGTGCAGCCCTTGCAGGTCGATCCCCGAAGGAAAACCCACACAACTACCGGTCTAACTATTTTAAATAGGGGATGTGTAAGGTCAGACCAAAGTCAAATGCTCATAGAAGCAAAACAAATTGACTTGTTCGGGAAGGCAAAAGCGTACTTTTCCCAAGTAACCGTGTGTATTGTATCAGAACAATCTCAGTTACAAGCAGACTAGAGATTTTCTGTGTTGCAGTACATTTGTTACTATCTCTTGTTTCATACCACTCACATGTCTCGTGATTCTTTGAGATCGATAAATTCAAACTAGCACACAGCCGTGATTTGAACTGCAATCAGTGTGTTTTCATTCCCACGTCGCCGGTTCTGTGTTGCGCGAATACACTTCTCGTCCGGTGGGTTGTCTGTTGACTCGCGTGGCGCAATCTAAGAAACTGTTAAGTCGAACCCCTGAGGACACAATACCTACTTGACCAAATCTCTCGGTCAATTTCTGCATACTCCCACGCCACGTCATCGATTGAATACCTCGTGGTTTCGCCCAATTTGATGCACTGGAAACGTATACTGCTCGTCGAGGAAGGCGGTTAACTGGTGTACGGAGTACATGACCTAATCAACGTTAGTGATACGACTTCAAGTGACACTGAATTGAGGCACAGGAGAGTTTTTTGCAAAAAGCAAACTGGCGGACCTAAGCATTGCTCACCCTACAACGGCAGCTGGCGGTTAAAGTTCGAAACTCTTTGCACACACCAGGCGCATTGACGCGGATCGGTTAGCTGCACGGTATCCAAACGAAGGTCTCTGTTCCAAGCAACAAGCTCGGTGTGTCGTCGATAAACGACGTATCGTAGACGCCAATAATCTCTTACTTATGGCTCCGGTGTGGATTGGAGAACATTTCCACCAACGGCTCTAATATGTAGGCTCTAACCTACGCAACTGATACCACCAAATTCTCACGGCGTTTGGAGTGGTGCAGACTGCTGAAGAAGCAGGCAATGCTCATGGAGTTAAGTTCACCCTGACCCATCATTGGCATCATTTGTTTGGAGACCGATTTAGTCTTCAAGTCATATGCAATCGATGATACATATCTTTGCAGAAGCAGGGTTGGACGGACATAGATATCATGGAATGAGATTTTGAAGATGTCTACCTGCATCCTGACTACAGTACAGAAATCGCTTGATGCGGTTAGAAAGTACTTCCTGCAATGTCACGGTGGCGATAACATGGAATTCCTTCACAATATTCTGCTTCAGTTACTTGAGGGAAATCGGCTTGTTTCTGTAAAACCTTCGTTTCAAATATCCCCAGAAAAAAATCCAGCGGATATAAATCGGATGACTGTGCGGGCCACTCAATGGGGCCTCCACAACCGACCTAACGTCGGCCGAAGTGCTCGCAGAGATAAGCTCGCACCGATTGAGCATATTGTGATGGTACACCACCATGCTGCAACCATATTGTACTGCGAAATCCATTCGCCTCCAACTGTGGCAGTACGAAAGTCTGGAGCAATTCCTTGTACGACGATGCTAGCAAAAGTTAGGGTTGAGTAATATAAAATAACTTACCAGTCACGTTCCAGAAAAAGAAAAATGGTCCAACGATTTTATGACCGGTAGTTCCAGCCCAGATCATCAGTTTGGCGCTATGCTTAATATGTGACGCTGTGTATCTGCGTGGATGTGAAGCAGCCAAGAAATGTTGTTTGTCCGTTCCATGCAAATAGAAAACGGACTCCTCCGTAGGCATTACGGAGTGAATATGCATGTGATCGCAAAACCAACGTAAGATCACTTGGTGGTAAGTCATCATCATCATCATTACACGTTAGCTGGAGGTAGAAAACACCTCAGCTCTTGTGCCGCAATACAAAAGACAAGAAAAGGAAAACAAACGGTGGCACACCCGCTGAGTCCCCAGTAACGGATGTACATCGTTCCGGAGAGCTAACAGCTGGCTGCCGTAAAAGAGAGTCATATTATGCCTAACAAGTGAGATCGTGCTTGGAGGGGATGCTAACCAGGAGGGGGATGGACAAAGGAACTCACAACACAAACGCCATTGGGGCCGCCTCCAAGCCATATCAGCGAGTGTGTACAACTAAATGTGTTCACCGTCCTTAGGATTCCAGCCAGGCAATCGGGATGCACCAACCGACGCCAACTTCGAAGTGGAGGTTTTCATTTCTCTCGACCAAGTCATCACTTGGCCTCTCCTCCTCCTCTTCCAACCGCACCCACAACGAGCAAACAATGAACGTCGCGGGAGTCGGTGTGCTGGCATGCGCAACACGTGGCCCAGCCATCGGAGCTTGGTGTGTGATATAATGGTGCTTAGCTATTCACTCGCTCTTCATGCACCAAATACGCGACGTCGAACACGCTCATTGCTCACGCGGTGTTCCCAACAGACATGAGCTAAGCTGCGAAGGTAGTGATGATCGAATATGGCGAGCCTCTCCATATCTGTCGACCTGATGGGCCACGTTTCACAGCCATGTAGGAGAGTTGGACGGACGGCTGCGTTGTAAACTCTGCCCTTCAGGGCCAGAGTAATGTCGCGTCTGCGCCACAGGTGGCGGAGATTAGCAAAAGCACCTCGAGCTTTTGCTATGCGGTTCGGAACCTCATCTTCAATCCCACGAGTGCTAATATAGCTGCCCTGGTACTTGAATTCCTGAACGACTTCTAGCAGATCACCACCGAGCGTTAGCGTAGCGGTGGGTCCCTGCCAATCTTGGAGAAGTACTTTGCATTTCGATGGAGCAAAGCATAGCCCAAAACGATTGACAGCCAGTGCTAATCGGTCCAGTGCTGTTTGGCATGTTTGGGAGCTGTCACAGATTAGGGCAATATCGTCCGCATACTCCAAGTCAAGAAGTCGCTCAGCACGAAGTAGCTCCACACCTTCTAGGTCGTGTCCAGCGAAAGCTGTTTCCATGACTTCATCAATAGCGAAGTTGAAGAGGAAAGGTTACAGCGGGCAACCTTGTCTCACACCGCTGTTGATACTGAAGGGTGGCGACAGTTTGCCATAAACCCTCACCCTGCCCGAGCTATGCGCATGCAGCGCTTTGATAATGTTTACATATTTATCAGGCACACCTTTCCTCAGCAGACAGTCCCAAAGGGTACATTGATCGACTGAGTCGATGGCACCTATTATTTCGAGAAACACGACAACGGTGGGTCGCCAATAAACATGGCGGTGCTCCAACACTTGACGCGAGGTGAATATGTGGTCGATGCAGCTCCGAACTCGACAAAATCCGGTTTGCTCTTCACGAATCTGGCTTTCACGCGTGCCAGTCATTCTGTGGAGAATGCCAGAGGCAAGCCATTTAGAGGCAATCGAAATCAACCTGATCCCTCTATGATTGCCGCATTCCAAACGGGAGTTTCCCTTGAAATTTGGGACAATGATGGAGCGGTTCCAGTCTGTCGGGACTGCCTTCTGCTCCCGAGGTTTTACTAGCAACTCGTGTAAATCATCTACTAGAGCAGGTCCCTTGAATTTGAAGAGGACTGGGGGAATTCTATCTGCCCCTGCGGCCTTATGCAATTTAAACCGATTGATCTCACGTTCAAATTCTGCGCGTGAGGACGGATCAAAGGAGACGGTCCAGAAAGAAGCGCGCTCAATGCCTAAAAAGAAAGCGATAACTCAGGTTTGTTAAATTGCCTTGCAAAGTTTTAAGCCCAAAGCTCCAAGCGTTTTGACAGGTTGTGGATCAGCTGCCCACTCTCGTCGCGTATGGTCGCGTTAACACCAGGTTTCTTGCTGCCTGTTTCCCGTATCAGACGGAATAATTTACAATGATTACCAACAGCAACCGCGGTTTCCATCTCAGAGGCATGATGAGACCACCAGGTTTCGCGGTCCTTCTTCAGGCTAGCAAGTAGTTTTGCCCTGAGATTATTGCGAGCCTAACTGTACTAGCCTCAATGCACTAGTTTACTCCTTGAAGGAGAAAGTACGGCGTACAGCTTCACTTTGAAGAAACTTTACTTATTTAAATAGAGTTGTGTAAACGTACTACAGAGGAACGGTGTTTAGCCGTGCCAAAATGCCCTTAAATACACAACCGACGTTTACGGAAAAGTTACGTTAGGTTTGGCGTCAGGCACATCAACACACACACAGTGTATTCATTGTAGAAAGCATTTAAAAAACTGGTCGCAAGCAGCAGCTTCATACTATTTTCAAAGCTCCACCTTCCCTACCACTTGGTTACCAAACAATTAGAATGTCAAGTGCATTGCACTTCAACCCGAGTTTAAAATTCGTCATAACTTGTTGGGCTTTTATCGATAATATGAACATTCATGGTAAACCCTCAACAATCAGTGCGTTGTCTTTATTAACTGGTTGCTTTCCTTCGAACCATTCGAGAAGTACTCCTACAAACGTAATGGTAACTTTGTTCATGATGGCGTTACTCGTCGTGGATATTGCCGGCGTCACTTAGGTAAGACCTGTCAAAAGTTGAAGTAGGCACTCCGTAGTACCAACTAGATTGTGACAGCTTCGTGTTCAAAACACTTGGGCCTTTCAAGTCAATCCTGGACACTTTGCGGGGAGAATAAATTTACACGTCCCAGGTCGGGACAAGCGCAGCCAATTTTTAATGTACTCACATGCTGTTTGTATTCACTAACCCAAACGTTTCCTTATTGCTTAAAAGAATTCATTAAAGTGAAGTTCATTGTACGTCTCACCAGGTTAATAGCAGCCTGAATCATTTCATCATCACTGTGGAAATGTTTGTCTTAAGAATCCTATGCAGAAGCACAGAGATATTAGGTGTTTCCTGTCCCAACAAACAATCCACGACCGGGTTCTAACTTATGTGTTTTCATCAGATAGACGTGGTAGGTACGCGAACCCGGCGCCATTGCCTTTTAGCCGAAAGCACCACTCCTGAGTTACTGAGTTGCGACATGTAACACCAAATAATCAGTTGCTTCATCAGTTACGGTCCAAATGATCGCTTTGACCAAGGTTCACTCCAATGCTAATCGCAGTCCACATTGAGATTGAGATTGAGACTAAACAAGGCTCTCCTAGGTAAGCGGTGATCAAGCGTACGTAGCACGTGACCAAGCCAACGCAAGTTATTCAGTGCTATCTGTTGCTCTAGGGAGCTAGCATGATTAGCACTACCTAATACTTGACTACACACATCATGGTTGTGGATACGCTGGTGCCATGCGACTCCAACAATGCTTCGCAGACAACGATAATCATAGGCTTGAAAGCACCTCAGATCTGCAGTCTGAAGGGGCCAGGTCTCACTCCCATATAACAGAACGGCCCTCACTGTGACCTTGTATACATGGCCTATCAGACGGAGAGAAACTCCCTTCTGTCTCCAAAGATGCCGCAGGTACAAGCAGGCAGCTCTAGTCCTTGCAGTGCGTCAGATGAAGTCAGTTTCTATGCGCCCATCGTTGCTGATGCAGCTGCCAAGTTACTTGAATTGATCAACCACCTCGAGTTCCTCGTTAGAAACGATCAGGGGTCATACATTGGCTGGTGGTCCTTTAGCAACACTTTGAACTTTGAAGGTGCGAAGTGCATACAAAATAATGGGACCATTCTAGACAGACTATTTAGGGTTGACTGTGCCGCCGCAACATAATCGAATAGCTAGGCAATATCGCCTGCATAACCAAGATCAACTAGTCTTTTACCAGGCAGCACTTCAACGCCTACATCGTGCGATTCCGCAAGGGAACACACTTTGATAGAATTCACGACGAAATTGAACAAAAATGGGGAAATTGGACAACCCTGACGAACGCCACTTGTGGTCGGAAAGCTGTGCGACAGTTCACCGTGGACCCTGACGCGGCCTGTAATGGTCGAGTATAGAGCACGAATGATGTGCACATATTGCGTGGGAACAGCTTCCCGCGCAAGTATTTCGAAAGAATCGATCGATCGACTGAATCGAATGTACTATTGAAATCGAGGAACACAGCTATTGTCGGTCTGCTGTAGGTGTGGCGTTGTTCTAGCATCTGCCGCAAAGTGAATATATGGTCTATACAGCCACGTTCTGGGCGAATACCTGCCTGCTCTTCCCTAATCCAAGATTATCGTTCCGCAGTGAGGCGTCGAATGAGAATCGAAGCCAGTACTTTTGTCACAGCTGGCGTTAGGCTAATACCCCTGTTGTTAGAACAGTCTGTGTGACTGCCTTTCTTGTATATCACCACTATATAATCGATTCGCTCCAATTAGCCGGGACACTCACTTCTTTCCAGGTGCGTTCGAATAGGGAGATCAGTGCTTTGCAGAGGATCACACCTTCCTCCTTAAATAGTGCAGGAGCAAGGAAATCCGGGTCAGCGGCACTTGAACGACTGAGGGCTGTGATCGCGTTTCGGACCTCGGCCTCTGACGCAGGTTCTAAATCAACGGTCCATGGCTCGTCCTGCATCACCAGAGTAGGAAGAGGTCCAGGAGCAGAAGACCAACTGAACTGATCTTGAAAGTGTTCTGACAAACGAGACATACGGCGCTCCTTATTGTGTATCAGTGCAACCGCGCTGTCTCTGATTGTCTCACTGACGCCTAGTATCCTGGGACTAGTGATGTGGATCAGCTGGAAGAGCTTGCGGTAATTGGCTACTGCTCCTGCCTCCTCCATTTCTTGAGCCTTACTGGTCCACCAGGCTTTCTTGTCAAAACGTAGGCTCTGCTTTAGTTCACGCTTAATAGCCCATCTGGTCACAATGTGTTCAGAGCCAGCCGGGAGGTGTCTTCTAGATTCCAACAGGTTCACCGACCTCTCGGATATCCAGTGACTGGTGCAGTGAGGATAGATAACGCTACAAGCAGATGCCCTTGCGTCGTGCATGACGGCCAAGATCCTATTCCACTGAAGCTCAGTGTCATTAGGACAAGACAGTGGAAGTTCGGTACGCAATGCGTCTTGTTAGGCTTGCCTGACCGAGGACTGAGACAATTTCTCCGTTGGCAATCAGAGGGGACGCTTGGTGCGCCTTCCGGTAGGGATCATGTAGAACCGACAGCGTGCCAAGGCATGATCCGAGTCGACGCATGTATTCCAGTACGAACGGCAATTCAAGATGGAACCACACCACCTGTAACCAATGGTTATGTGGTCAATTTGGATCCATCGCTGGCCAGCCACAGCAGGGCGCCAAGCGGCACTTCGGCGCCCACTGTGTCTAAAAGCAGTGCCACTAAGAAACAACTGGTGCTCCGCACACAGTTGTAACAGACGCTCACTGTTGTCAGTCCGATCGGAGTTAAACCCATAATTACCACCCAGACAAGCTTCTGAAAAGCTCCGAGGTCCTACTTTTGCCTTCATGTCCCCTGCAATTGTTATGATATCTGAATTAGTAGCATTGCATAGTGGCGAGTTCAGTTCGTGATATAATGTGTCCTTGACAGCATTTGAACTGCAATCAGTAGATATAAGCGGAAATCACGAACAAACAGCATTTTGTATTACTTCGCGAATTCACCTTAGCTGATGTCGTCAAACGGACTGCACATAAACTGCTGTTCACCGGAATCCAATCAACCAACGATGGTTCAGCCTTGGAGCTTAGAATGATGCCTACACCAGCTTGACCCGTGACTACTGCATCCACGTCTCCGGATGCGTGCGACGCATAACGAGAGGATAAGCCTAATGAAATTAATTCAACAAACCCATTAGGGTCATTGATTCTAGTTTCGGACACACAACACAATACCCAGTGTGACCAAGGTGCGTGCGAGCGCAGCCTGTTGACCTGTTTGTCTTAGAGTGCGAACGTTGAGCCTCTTTATGGAAACGGGATAGCGTGGTCTTATAAGGTACTTTTGCCGATAGGCGTCCGGTGCTGTCGCGAGAAGGTGGCTGCAGATGGTTCTACTCCCGTGGCACTTCGGTTGTTGTCAATTAAGCTGGGAATTATAGAAGGAAGGTTAGTAATGGGGGTCGGGATAGGAGTAAAAGAAAGAGGTAGAAAAGAACGAAGGAAGGCGCCAGCAGTAGTATGTTTTCGCTTATCTGCCCTGCTGTATGCAGAAGATAAGGCGACCGTTAATAATCTGCGCGACGGCTGATGCAGGATGAAGTTTATGTTGAGAGAAAAAGTCATGCTTGTATGTGAGCTGGGATACTGCCAGGGAGCTCAGACCTAGACAGGAGGACGAGTAGGGTCCTCATCCAAAGCTTTTGGCTCAAAAGCCTGTCCTCAAAACAACGGGGAGGTGGCAATGATTTAGTTTTACAGAAATGGACGCCATCCCATTTTTAACCTCCAACTTGCAGGACCAGGAGACTGAGTTTGTCTGAGCTCTCACTATTGACCAACCTGTTAGGAGTATCACTCAAGGTGCCTGAAGGCACCACGCAGTATAGCTCAATGGGTCAAAGAGGCACGCAAACTGTCGCACAACGTTAAGGTCCAGTGTCGTTGCGACGGATCATAGTTTACAACTCCGATACTGTGGTCCTTGCTGGGGATTCCAACACACAGGTCGAAGCAGTTTATCAGATGAAAGTTACCTCGGTGGTCACCATAAGCTTAATGAGAAGTGCTCAGATAATGGGATATGATGTTTTACACTGTGTATAAACAGTCGTAGATTTGCTCGAACTCCTGATTCCAAGATTCGAGGAGATGTTCCGCTACTTGGCGCTCATGATTTCCTACTAATGGTCTCAGTTTGACCATATGCTATTAGGTACAGATCGCGGGTTGGTGCAAAGTATTGCAGATCCAGCTGGCCTGCATTTCTGGACTCAGGTCATGCACATATTTGTGTGAATCGCTGCATGAGTTTTGATCGGTCCCTGAAAAGAAGCACTGTTATTTGACGGCTGCGTGTCATTGGGCTGTGCTTATGTTCTTAATGTGGGATTTCTATAGCCATCAATTATACGCTACCAGCTGAGCAATAGCAGCATGGAAGACCCAGAAATGAGCATGATTTGCTTGTGCATGTGGCGTTAAACGTAGTATTTTTATTATGTGTTCCATGAGACCACCTTAAACCCTTGTGTTGCCGCAGCGGTGTGTAGTGAAACACAGCGCGCAGGCTGAAGTTCTCAGTAAAACTAGTCCGAATAATGCAGACGAATTAATTGTACTACTTAATTCCCATAAAATAAAACGGTGAGTAGTTGTATCTAGTTTTGATAACCGCTGCCAAAAAATGGTATTCAGAAGATCTTCTGCAGTATTCAAAATACACTTCGCTTCACATGCCTTTGTTGGCTTTAACAGATAGCACCTGTGCAGTGTACTATTGCCTCTGGAAGTTTTAGCCATAATGATGTTGTGTGGAATCCGTTTCACCGTATCCGGAGAGCTTTTACAAAATAGGAACGAGTCTGTCGTGACGTCTTCTGCGGAAGGGCTGCGGTCACAGGCAACGATAGGTACCACATAGCTGACATCTTTTGAAGGCAAAGGTTTTTATTCCGTCTGCAATATCTGCTGAATTACGCTCGCTGCGGCACAAGTATCAATGGAGTCGCTTGTAGCCCGTGTATAGCCGTTGGATTTATAACGCCTAATATCGCTATAGAAAATTAGAATTGAAGCACAAAGTATCAACCTACTGGTTCTGTTGCCATATGAAGAAATGTTGATGGATTAAACATGCCGCTTTGCATGTACAGCGTTGTTTTAATGGCATCAGAAGAGGTGTTTATGGTTCAGCACCAGAACGATCATGTTTCCTACTCAGGTGCAATTGTGCATTGTCACATATTGTGTGGACGCACTGTAGAAAGTAGATGTCTTCCTTATTTCCAGATTTAAAATAAAGCTGCGTAATCACAGCTAACGCAAAAGCGGTAGCATCTATCGATGCACATCTGCGGTAGGCAGGCTTGGGGAGGATATCGTATTTTTCTACAAGCAGGCTAATTTAAGGCCGTATAAGTTAATAAGTTATTTTCTAAATCACTCAAAGGTTTTATTTAACTTGTTTATGTGGTGAAAAGCCATTATTTGCTAACGCCAGCCTTAGGCTCAATTCTTGCTTTGGATAAGGAAACAATAACTATGAGTTTCTGTTGGAAAACATTAATGTAATGTAATAAAATAATGTGTCAGCTATACGCCGTAACAGCGCTTCGCTGCCGCGCGACCACCAACAGTCGCGTGCGGACTGAGTATACTGCGAGGACGCCCACCCCTACGCGGATTCGTACCGGTGACCTTATGGTTGCAAAGCAAACGTGTAGACCACTCGGCCACTGGCCTACATAACTGTTACTTTAGCTTTCGTTGCAGATGATCAATAAGACATGAAGTAACAAGTTTGAAATAGCAGACATCAAGCCAACTCTCTGAATTACATATTTTCTAAACCCGTACGTGCTTACTGAATCAGAGTGAAGTGATAAAACGCAGGATGAGGGCAAAGACTAAAAAGAACAAATATGGTCCAGTGTTCAGCTCTTTAAATCGTCTCTCCCCTAGTCCTACATACCTTTGTCCCTACTATAGTTATGCACCAGAGTGTAGGCATATGTTCAGCTGAATGGGTAGATGTAGGTTATAGTATAATTGAGTGCGAGAACTACATCTATCCAGGTTGTTTTATTCATAATACGTGCTGAACTGCCACCACCTACTGCGAAAATATGAATCTTCATGGTAGTATCCGCTTGCAAACTGCATTTGCTTGATTTGTATTCCAATCGTTTGTCATTTTATCAAGTGGCCTAAATGGCCCTAATCTTTTGTTGCATTAACCTATACTGACAAAAGATGAAGCCCCAACATAACTTACGGAGTTCATTGTTATGTTAGAACAGACTCGACAAATAACGTGCTTTGTTATCTAGATCTTGTTTGTGCTTGGGCAGATAACAGTAGACCATGGATTAAATTATGTGTAATATCATTGTTATACAAATAGAATTGTACCAACTAATGACTTACTTGGACTCATATATTAGGTACTCGTTCGGCGCTTCCTGTAGGTACAGTTGAGCATGGAAAATATTTTGTTTGTAACGTTCTTGAGTAACCTTACGCTTGTGATATTCCTTTAAGTATACACCGCTGTTCTTACTAGAATTTGTACAACCAAACGATGTGTTACATTATACTCATTGCAGAAGGGTCAAGCAATACGGTTGCTTTTGGAACACCTCGGGGTTGAATACAAAGAGCGACTGTATGACCAAAGAGATGCATCTGTATGGTTTGAAACAGACAAACACGCATTGAGTCTAGAATTTCCCAACGTGAGTTCGCACAAAGCTTTTGCATATTGATCCTAGCTTCCATATTTTTTAGACGGAGACTTCAAATTAACGGAGTATTGCGCCATTCTGAGGTACATTGCAGAAAAGTATGACACAGGTTTGTTTAACTTTGTTTTTGTGTGCATTAATTCGGACCGTTTAGTTGGAAAAACCTTGCAGGAAAGAGCAAAAGTTAGCATGCTGGAAAGCGCCGCGTCCGAGTTACGCTTTGACATCAGGGTGGCAATGAGCGCCCATATGGTAATGCTTATATTTCAACTATGCCTCATGCCCCTGTGCAATTCAGAAAGATGAACGTGAGAAATTTTTGAAAAGAGTGCCAATTATACTTAAACAATGGTCATCTTTCCTTGGAGAAAAACCTTTCCTACTGGGTGACTCAGTAAGTTGGAACTAATAACTGTGTTGGATTTTGCAACAATTCACCTTGAGTTGGTGTCAAACCATATCCGCATTCACAAACTAACATCGAAACCGCGATGTACTGAATCCCTTTCCTTTCAGTGTGGTGGAATGCTTGAAGTACGTGCAGACTGGTTAGAGTCCTTTACCTTCGGTGCACTAGTTTACTCCTTGAAGGAGAAAGTACGGCATACAGCTTTCCTTTGAAGAAACTTTACTTCTTTGAATAGAGTTGTGTAAACGTACCACTGAGGAACGGTGTTTAGCCGTGCGAACATACCCTTAAATCCACAACCGACGTTATGAAAAAGTTACGTTAGGTTTGGCGTCAGGCACATCAAGACACACAGTGTATTCATTGTAGAAAGCATTCAAAAGACTAGTCGCAAGCAGCAGCTTAATACTGTTTTGAAGCTCCGCCTTCGCTACCAACTGGTTACTAATCAATTAGAATGTCAAGTGCATTATACTTCAACCCGAGTTTAAAATTCGTCATAACTTGTTGGGATTTTATCGATAATATGAACATTCATGGTAAATCCTCAACAATCAGTGCGTTGTCTTTATTAACTGGTTGCTTTCCTTCGAACCATTCGAGAAGTACTCCTACAAACGTAATGGTAACTTTGTTCATGATGGCGTTACTCGTCGTGGATATTGCCGGCGTCACTTAGGTAAGGCCTGTCAAAAGTTGAAGTAGGCACTCCGTAGTACCAAATAGATTGTGACAGCTTCGTGTTCAAAACACTTGGGCCTTTCAAGTCAATCCTGGACACTTTGCGGGGAGAATAAATTTACACGTCCCAGGTTGGGACAAGCGCAGCCAATTTGTAATATACTCACATGCTGTTTGTATACACTAATCCAAACATTTCCTTATTGCTTGAAAGAGTTCATTATAGTGGAGGTCATTGTACGTTTCAACAGGTTAATAGCAGCCTGAATCATTTCATCGTCACTGTGGGAATGTTTGTCTGAAGAATCCTATGCAGAAGCACAGAGATATTAGGTGTTTCCTGTCCCAACAAACAATCCACGACCGGGTTCTAACTTATGTGTTTTCATCAGATAGACGTGGTAGGTACGCGAACCCGGGGCCATTGCAAGTTAGCCGAAAGCACCACTCCTGAGTTACTGAGTTACGACATGTAACACCAAATAATCAGTTGCTTCATCAGTTACGGTCCAAATGATCGCTTTGCCTAATGTTCACTCCAATGCTAATCGCAGTCCACGTTGAGGTTGCGCGAATATTTCAAAATGTCCCTTCAATCAGCCATTAATGGTTATGCTAGACGTTGCGCGTCGTGACTCGGCAGCTACAAGAACAAGAGTCTCAAGCAAGATCCCAACGCTTGATATCTCTATCTGCGGAGTTCGAAAAGTATCGCAGGGTGCAATTTTTTTCGGGTAGGCCACACCCAAAATTCATCTGTCTCATTTGTTGCAGTCCCAGTGCTCGACTTGACCAAGGTTCATGTCAATGCGAATCGCCGTCCATATTTAGACTGAGCGTCACAATCCATTCAGAAAACGATTGCTTCACTTTGATCCATCCGATCAATCCTTCGATGCATTCAGATAGAGGGGGATTGCTGGTGATGTGTAACAACTCTAAGCCGATCCGGGTGATACCAAACTTCCATATCATAACGAATCTTCTATTCAGAGTAGACTTTCACGAGTGTTTTTTCGATAAAATTCTTAATGCTGTTTTGGAAACTGTTTCGTGTTTGTTTTTCGGAAACACAACTGATTTTAAATTAATGTGCTCAATGTTCACAAAGAAAGATTGGACACCACCTTGGTTTGACGACAAGTTATGCGACGATTGCCGGTAATCAGCTGATTGACTTGCTGGATGTTCCCAGAGCTCACACCTACGGGTTGGAACCTTATTCGATCCGGATTACCAACGGCGAACGTACGATCATACTACTGTGGATGAGCATGCTAGCGCCAGAGCGTAACCGAAGTGTTCTGTAAGCCCCAACTAGTTCTATACTGTCTTTCATCAGAAATTTCATGACGACACATTATCCCATACACAATCTCACTGTATTATTCGTCATATTGAATAACTTTATATAAAATGGCAGCAGTTCATAGCCGCAGGAAACAACTGCTAGTTTCTGTTACATGCATTAACTCTGCCGTGGGATTAAACCTTGAACCGGTAAAAATGGATTGCCCTGGTTGAGCTAAACGGCTCTTACGTCTCATTTGATGCGTATGACAGCTGCAACGATAAAGTACTGGTGGCATGCTGAACTACATTATGGCTTTGGTTGAGTCGTTTGCTTATGCTTAACAGCACGAACGCCATTTACGATATCACCGGATTTGTATCCTTGACTCCGTCAGAGCAATCCCAGTCGAAACGTGCAACTTTCTCTGTACATACATCTCGACACCGATTAACGAACCGACGTAGCGACATCATGCAACACTCAGTTGGACGCATTGCTAGACTTTAGTACCAGGTTATGCGACATCCGCACAATCGTTTTGGCAGCCCGAATATCCGTATCCAGTTAGCGGGTACTCTGCATAGCCTGTATGCTATGATGCATCCAGGTCCATGTGTGGAATGAAGCGACTGTTGCGGAAGTGACAGGCGCCGATGGGTTGTACTCTATCGACATCGAGAGGGTGGTGTTGTAGCACATGCGGTCGCGAGAGCTTGAGTCAGGCAGGCTTAGTTAGCCACGAGTGTGGCCATTCAAAACCAACATCGAAACGACGACGGGTCCTGCTAGGAACGTAAGCAGGACTGGCGCAGCGTTGGTAGGTACGCTCCATTCGATTTACTAACCGCGTGCTTGCGTGCTGCGTTACTTTATTTCAGGTGGTATGTTTGCTATCTTGTCTTAGTGCACACTTTCTTACCTCATCTTAATATCGACCTAAATAATTTATGAAATTGCAAATGTCGCTTAAACGAAAGGTGCTCAACTGAGTTTATTCTATCCATTCCGCTAATGCTTTCGGATCTCTTTATCTGCCATCTTCAACGTCGATAATTTACTTATGTCCTGTGCAAATTTAGCGGTATATCGTATGGTGTTTTCGACCTATTTTACTTTTTCGTGCATTTTATGTGTTGGGCTGGTGCTTGACTTCCCCTTGCGGTTGCGGTTAATGTGCATGTTGACATGGTGTCTACCTGTCTCTTACCCACCACTTCGTCTATACTGGCTGTAGGAGAGTCAATCGTTGCTGAAGAGGACGGAGTGCACGGTCCTTGTGCCCGTGCTAGCCTCAAAGAGTGGCTCCATGCACACGGTTTGTGTGTGAAACGCACTACGGTCCAGCCACCGCTTTGCGTGCGCTTGATTCCCGAATACAGCGTGCTTGTGTTTGCCTGTGAAGGAGTGTGGGCAGGCTCCGTTGATGAAACCTGACTCCGATGCGCATGCCTCCGGGTCTTATTCCTTCGTTTTTATTTCGCATTTGGGGTGTGTGGATGAAGTTGTGGTTGGTGCAGCACAAGTCACCCGTGGTCTCTCTGTAGGCGCAGGCCTCCTTCGAAGATCACAGTGACAACCAACTCCGGAACTAGAGGCAGCCAATCATGTCCACAAAGTGGCATCGCTTTAACTATGTTATCAGAGTTCGAACAAACATATACAAAATATTAGTTTCGAGATAAAGCATGCAGCAGTGAACCTTTTCCATTTTGGTCCTGACTGACAACAAAATATGACAGCATAGCAATAGATCGCTATTGCTTCTTCAGGAACGCAGTTTTGCGAACTCTGTCCTGTGTATACCGGACAAGGTGCAATTTAATAAAATCCTGACATGGATACGTCGCCCTACGACCACTGAACTCTAGAGAAACTGGTCTACACGTTGAAAAACCTTACATACTCAAGGGGATTCACCTTTCATGCTGTTGGCACCGACTAATCCACACAATTTTATGCAACCAGGTGGAGGCAAAACAGTGATAGAACAGGGACAGGCTGCAAAAATAATAATCAACTATTGTTACATCGTTCATTATAACATTTGCCGCTGAAGAATTGCTTGCACGATGAGATGAGCTCAGTGGTTTCTCCACACTAATAACCAACAACGAGGGGGATAACGAAACACTTAGATTGAAATTGTCAAAGCGAATCGCTACTAACACACTGACCCAGGGACAATTCCGCACTTGTTCGGACGCTTCTGCTAGACATGGTTGGAGTTGATTACTGCCTATTGACCGACTTTTCAGTGAAGGTGATTTGCTGTCCGCGTTAAGATGCAGTCTATGTGGTACGAAGGTTTCAGTATTATACACACCTGAAATCAAATCCAAATTGAAGTTTTCTAAGCGCTGTCAAATGTTGTGGCTGGCAGTCCAAATCTTAACCATGAGTTCCCAATAACCCCACCAAGCTTCACTCTTTGTGCTCGTTTTATTCTTTGTATACAGGCAGTCTCTGCTCCTCATATTCAAACCGTGGGTTTTGTCTTTTCTAACGTGATGATGTAGATGAGCGTAAAAGCATACATGAAGCGTATTGTCAGAAAGGAGGAGAAAACAAACTTATCCAATGGTGAAGTCATTTGAAGTATTCGTTGTGTGAATAGATTGTAACCAGCAATCTCAATCGGGAACACAATTTGTTTTGATCTAAGCCTAAGTTACTATGATCATTAAGACTGCGTCTAAAACGGATAACTATTGACTATTTCCCCTCTTATTGTTGTAATCCCTAAACAGTTTAATGCTTGTTCTCACTTGTCAACTATTGGACTGAGAATAGCTCCAGGGACGCCAGGATTCCTGCTGAAGACTTTACTTAACATGTGTCTAACCACGATAACCTCCTAATGACTAATATGATGGAAGTGAATCGCAGTCCCGAATAAGATTGTGCATCCTTACCCATGCACAAACGAGTGATTAAAAGTTCGCTCCCACCTAATGGTCAAATTCTATGTTCCTCAGAAACATGAGACAAAGTGTATTGAGGTTGATATCTCAACTGTCCCCGACTCGAGTTGCAGTGTTGTTCTGTTTGCCTGATGAGTGTACATGAGTACAAAACTAGTCATGAAACGCACTGTTGAAAGCTGATGGCACTTACCGTATATCTGCAACAGTAACCTGTATTACGGCTGAAAGCACGAAGATCCGTTCTTGTCGCCATACGGATAGAAAAAGTCGGATAGTGTACGCAGAAACACACGTGCTAGTATAACAGAGCTCTGAAATGCTGATAGCTGACCACAGTGGAATCACGAATGAGCGCCCCGACTAGGGTGTTTTTCAGAAGGGCCACCACGTACACGGTTAATGCATAATGAAGGCGATTGTTTGGGAATTGTTGCCCAGAAAAGCAACCACCTGAGGCTGGAAGTGATTTGGTCCTTATCTTTCCCTACAGTGCACACTGCACCATTATTTCGTCCCTGTCTAGACTCTCCACGAATAGATGGCTTGAGCTGGGGGTGAAACACTACACATTGGGGTTGACGGCAAACACACCGAAGGAAAGGAAGTTGTGCGGAACTGTTATGTACGCAGAAATGTCGAAAAACCCTCGAATTCCCCCATTTAAGAAACTAAAATAGTGCATCCGTGCTATTCCGCCGGAGATATTTGCTCAAGTCGAAGCACAAGTTTAGAATCCGACCTTACTTTGCCTTAGTCCCAGGGGCATCAGCAGTATGTCGGTACTGCGCACCGACGCCTCGCTGCCGCGCAAATATCACCATTCGTACTTGGGCTAAAGATACTGCGAGTGTCGCCCGGTTCCCTACGCGGACTCGAAGCTCGGATCTCCGAATACAATTCAGGATGGCGATCCTTCACTTTATGTTCCATCACAAGGAGCTTAAATGAAACCTGCCTACTAAGTGTTGGACGTGGTTGACGTGTTGTTCTTCAAGGTAAGGACTGATGATATGTTTAAAATCTCTATTTTATTCTTCCAACCCATCGGGGTCGTTGCTCATAAGAAACTTAGTAACAATGGGAACACATGTGAAGGGGTAGTATCGTCAGTTTTCGTGTTGTCGAGGTGTGGAACACCGACTGAAGCAACATCAACCCACGCGCACTTGGCTACCACCATCTTCATATAGGCTCAGAATATTCAGTTACACTCAATGTGTAGTCTAACAGAAATCCTGTAAATAAATAGATTTCTATACTGTGATACACGACTTTAGGCACTAAAATCAGGCCACCGGTTTCGAAAGGAAAGTGGGACCATGAATAACAAGCTGATAATATAGTGAACATGGTCAGCAAAATTAAGTGGATTTATCACTTGTTTTCTAATAAAATCACTCGCACTTTATCCGTTAACCACGGATAGACCGGTCTTCTATAGGCCGCCCCAGTCTCATTGTACGTATTCTACTTCCATAGATTGTCACATCCTTACACTTGCGTAAGAAACCACCCGGATTGATATCCTGCTGCTAATATGCGACTCGAATTGTTCCACTCCTGCTATCACTCTGCGTATATTTTTGCAGTCATAAGTGATCCGTATTTGTTGTCTAAGGCTTTGCTTGCTGTTAAGGAAGTCCTAACGAAACTAACCGCCAACATGACAACGTCCTACTTTTGTGTCCCTTGTAGTCCAAAGCTACAGTGATCTCTGTCTATCTTTTGTGGCGTCTTCATTCCCCTTTTATCTTGGAAAGCTTCCAAAATCTTGACGGAGTGTTCCTACCGGTTAGAACCATGCCCAATGTTGATTTCAGCGACCACTTCACCTAAGGCTGTATGGTTTCCAGACTTCTCGAAGGGGTTAGTGCAGCCTAACGGTCTAAGTATACAGTAGCATCGCATGTTCCACCAAGGTGAAAGATGTTAATTCAGAAGGGAGAATTACCTATTTCTCTGTTCGTGATTGTTAGGGTTCAAATGGAATAGTTGGAATGGTTCGTCCTCCTAGGGATCCGCGTTTCTGTTCATGGCTCTATCATTTCCCCTCGAATTACAAGCCCTGTGTCAACACTTGTCAAGCTAAGATAATTGGGGCATCATGGCAGCAACCGTTCAACGAAGGGTCTGAATTACAGTACCTTTTGCCGCATGCATTTATGATGCTTCCAGCCAATTGGAGTAGATGCCGTGTGTCAACCTTCTTTCTGTGACGAAGCATTCGTTTTTTGGTGACTTGCTGTCTGCAAAAGGAATGTTAGACAGCGTGTCTTGTGAGTTGCTGACGCATCATCAACGCCACGGGACACTTAAATCAAAGGCATTGTGTGGTGAAACCCCGTGTGCAACCAACTTGATCCATGCACTAAGGCCTATAGGTAGTAACAGACTGAGAAAAACACAAAATGGATAGGTATTTCATTGCTCTCTTAAAGGATGTCTTTTACTTCGCCCTAACTACCAGTTGGATGACCTTTCCACACCATAGATCACCAGAAAAATTGAGACGCAATATATTTTCAGCCGAAACTTTGTATGGCATAAGTTCGAGTGCGTTTGTTGCACTCGTCCTTCTAAAACACGCATGTATTGGTTTAATAGCTTGTCTTTACATTAGGTCTTTTACACAGGTTGATTAAGACGTGGCAGTGACTACATGGAAGTCTCTGGTTCTGAATAGTGCGCCTGCATTTCAAGGTCTTTGTGCACACGTTGCGAGAGCACAACAGATTAAGCAGTTGAGAAACTGATAGCACAGTCGATGGGGAAGGCGTATATTGTGCTTTTGACGCCAAGATTATTTCAGTATATTTCTTCTGACTTAATGGCCATGGCTAAAGACAACAAGCCAGGACTCGCGGCTAACTGCGTGGACAAACAGAATTATAACAGCTGTGCTGCGAGTTGTATTCTGTTACCCAGATCCAATTCCTTGACTCAGCAGATTTTGCCCACGATACCAAACTCAGCTAGGAATACCAACTGAGCTATATACTCAAGACGCGGAAACAAAATGCCGGTCTTCTGCGGAAACCATTCGGATGGTTTTATCCATCCGACTGCGCGCAGATAGATGTCGCCATAATGCGGCCTCATGTAGAATATGATGTGCAGGCCTGACATCCCTGGCAGAATCATATCTCGGTGCGCACGTGTCTCCACAACAAATAACAGTCAAGCACGTTAACTGATTGCTCCACTTTCCATCTCAACCTGAGCTGACGGCTCTAAGATTTCACAGCGGTCAGTAGCGGTGTGTACTAGAATGGACTTATAAAGACTTGCAAGGGTTTGTTGAAAGCCAAACACGTTTGTTACCACCTTTCTCAACTTATTTAATACACGAACCTGACAGGCCAGCGGTCTAGATGGTAAAGCACTATAGCCAACTGGAACGTCGCTGAAATTCCTTCACTTTTATGTTTGTCAGCTATGGGAAGCCTCAACATTACGGGTGTACAAAAATCGCCTTAGCGTTATCCTAACCCATCTGTACTGTAGAATATAATCCGTGTACATCGGGAGGTGATGGAACATTCCAAACAGCGCATTCATTAGAATCCCCCTACTCAATCGATGCAGACAGCTTTACGTATGCCTCTGTGCCAACAATATGGCGACTACAAAAGAAGACGCATTTCTTTTTACCATTTCCACTTTGTGGTTCCTATCCTAGTTATACAACGGGACTTCCCTAAACAGACTTTCTTTACTTGTAAAACACCATTATTCCATTGTTCAGCGAACCACTGCAGTGCATTAGTCATCAAAGAATCTCCGCTGCTTGTCGCCTGTATTTGCACGCGTATCCACTTAAGCTAGGACAGCAGTGCTCAGTGGGTCCAAGTATGTAGGTGACTAGTTTAGAAAATATCTGTGCTAGGTTACAGTAATAGGGATAAAAGGAACCCCAGCGCAATTCACTGTCCGCGTAGTTGAAATGTCTCAGACAGTATAAAGCACAGTAAGCACATCCATTTGAACAGCTGATACTTCCCCAAGCAAATTCTCTCTTGTTTTCTTCTCAGCCACTTTACGTCGACTTTATGCTGTACGAAGACTTGGATGTGCTGTTATATTTGGAACGGACCATTTTGGATGAGACCGAAAATCTGGTACTTTATAAGAAACGAATTGAAGTAAGTCTACCTAGCTTTGCTGCCCACTGTAACCCACCCTCCGTCTGCATATGTGTCCACATTTTGGTCCCGTTGAAATATTTCATATTTCTAATTTGAGAGCAGAGTAAAACAAGGTGCAAAACGCCGAGGAACTATCCGACCAAGTAGGTCCAGCAGTAAATTTGTTAGAGAGAGAGAGATGATGCAGTTCGTCAGAAACCTCCCGAATGATTTGTGTGAATTTTTAAGGGTTGTACGTAGTAACTGCTGCCACACAAGGCCCGAATATTTCCAGTGTCAACTAGACTTTGCCTAAGCAATGGAAGACGTCCACTTCAACGGAAGGTTTTTAACCGAATATGAGAAATGTTTGGCTCTCACTGATGAGCCAAGGTTCTTCTGAGTTGCAGTTGAACTGAGTGAAAATTATCTATCGCTATGGTTTTAGACTGCAACGCAACTAATTACAGTTTTTAACAGGATAACAACAAACACTGGGATCATATGGTTTGCATCATGCATGCTAGCTGAAAGGCCAGGTGAAACTATGAAGCACCCAGTTGCCTAAAAGTTTTGGCTGTTTCAATTCATGAACTACACCCAAATCGCAGAACAAACTCATAGGACAAAGCCATAACCACCACACTGTACTCTTATAGCTGAGGTGAGGCCGTGCGCAGTTCGCTGACCTCCATACTTTAACACTAGAACACCTGTACCGGTCATTTTGATGACATCCGCTGCCAACCATCTAAATGTCACCAAAATCAATCACATGACAAAATTACCACGGTAGCATCCAAACTCAGGCGTAAATGTTCACTGTCAAACGGATTTACAGCTCAGCGACGAATTCGATCATATCGGTGAAGCACTAAGCAGTGTGACTGAACGAACTTGCACCAGTCAGTAGGATAGTAAGGTTAAGGATCCTCTGGAGATCCGCACACCACAAACCATATTCAGCCGCCTTCTTTGGAGTGGCATTGCGAGTTACATTGAATAATGCACACAGTTCAACAGGTTCCAATGATGCCCTATGTTGCGCAAGGTTCCAGTGCAACTCTTGATGGCTGTTCCACATTCAGTGAGATAATCCTTACTAAACCGTGGTTTATAACTGATAGCATGCCCGATGATAGCTTCAAGCACTGCTTGCGCATTTGTGACGGAGAAATAGACTTCGAGTGCGCCCCTGCTAACAGGCACTTCAGCCTTCTGGCATGCGAGTGGGACAGATCGTTACTGGCGCAAAACTTGTGTTGCCCTGAAACTTTAAGCAATGAACAAGTTCCCATGTTACCCAGTAGTCATGGATGCATGGAAGGAGTGCACAAAAGGGGCGTGTACACGTTGGAACCCCTTCGAAGTCGATGAACGTGCTGCAGATTACAACGTAAGAAAGAGGATCCAACATGGATGTCTGAGCAAAAATGTGAAGGACCCACTTAGTGTTTCTCGAGTGTCAAATTCACTGATATCTTCAGGCGGAGGAACGATATCCTACTAAGTAATGGGAGCCAAAAACCCACTTGAGGGCAGTCAGGGAATTAAGTAACTGGCTTGCTATCAATGAACCTTGATAACAGATATTTCGTGATAAATTTAATCCACCGTAAGTGAGATACGTGCTTCTCCGTAGGAAAAATCCTTTCACTGACCAGCTAAGGTTTCGAGCCATTTTTCATCACTTACTAGTAACAGCTCTCAAACATAGCATATGGAATTTTAGAAGGTGGACGCCTACCGATCAAGCTGATTTCGATAAAGTGGTGCTGCGACAAACGCATCAGGCTTCATGTATACTTCCTTGAATAATGAAAACGCTAGTATGCTTTGAGCGATTGGAGTGAGCTTGAGAGGATCATTTTATGTTTACATAGCTAGAAGAGTATAGCGCAAGTTGACTGCGATAAAGAAAGACACATATGTGTTCAGATCAGTAAAGCATAAAGCGGGGTCATATCAGAAAACCGCGGTAAACCCAAACTATAGCCTAGAAGTGGGAAGTAAACTGCTTGGCAACATCAACTGTTGCAGTAAATAGGATGGAATCCGGATGAAACACACTTGGTCGATTTATTGAACTAATTCAACAACGAACGTAACACCGGAGTACGGAATACTGGTCATTTAGTCAGTACTTCAACCAACCGACGCGGCAGTGCATGGGTAGCGTGAGCGCAGCTAATGAACTAGGTGACAGGTAGTGATATTGTCCCCAGGCAACAGTCGACCATCGCAGACCTGATGTAGGTGCAAGTCTACCGATATTCACTTCTCGTCACTAGTTTGCATTTAGAAATGGGACATGAAATGTTTTCCAACTTGACTTTGAGCCCTTTTAAGTGACGCTTGATGAGACTGCCATCGGGAACTTACGCAGCACCTGCTCATCCGTGCAGCCGGAATGAATCTAGCCATAATAACAAGTCTTCTGAACATCTATGTTGGTTATTCTTTTCAGGAGCAGATAGTCACTGTCATCATGTTACTTTCGAGTCGCGCTTACGTTCACCCGCTCATTCTTTGGGTATACATCGAATGGTGACCGTACGGTATATCACTGAACTGTAGACTACCAGTAGATGGACTTGAAGTTGCGTGCATAAAACAAAAGGCAAGAAAGAAAAACATTTCGTCAGGATAATATGAATGTAGCTATTTCGCGTATTCTCATCAGCCATTTACATACAATTAGTGGAATGGCTAGGTTGTATACTGAGACATTCAATGTGTAACGTCATTGGATAATAGAAAGCGGTCAAAGTTCATCTGATGCTGGCCGGCATTCCGCTTAGAGGAAGGTGGCCACCAGCCTCACAAAGGCTAGGCGAGACTGTCGACGAACTCAATCTGTTTACACAAAGTGGGTTTCATCCACCTAATTGCCGAGGCTTCAGCGAATTGAAGCAGGCGAGCGGCGCTCTGTCGATTGTTTATCCCAAATAATTCACATGGGTTTTCACACATGGAACGATAATGTATGTGTCGGAAGATTGAACTGGCGGACAGTTTCGGACCATTCGCGACTAGGTTGCGCGGAATATGCTCTAAAATATTTGTGGACAGTCTCCTATCCGTTTGGCCACGTACTGGTCACCACAAGTACAGTGAAACAATTAAATGCATGAGGCGGTAACTCGTCATGTTTGTCCAGGTTGGATCTAAACATCAACTTCTAACTTGATGCAAAAGCACAAGTTTAGCAGCGTAATGACATCTTTTTATGGATTGACAGAGACGGTAGCGGAATCTCCTCTCATATTGGTCTCCTTTGATTGGTAGTGTTATGAACACTTTTTTCCTAGGTACGTCTGTCACCAGTACGTTCTTGGTTTTCCCGTTCACGTTTGTGTGTCACGCTATGAACTTCTCCGGATATCCGTTTTCACGTAGTGTCGAGGAGACGCGTTGCAGCTCACATTTGCTCGTCACATCAGAGCAGATCTAGCGGGCTCTCACAAAATTGGTAGGAACTAGAGTTCGTTTGTAATTCACAGGATAGAAACAGTTAAAGTTAAGGTACTGTCCTGTCCCCGTAGATTGACGGTACACCAATCGACTGAGTGTACCATTCGAGTTTCTTACTATGTTAACATCCAAAAAATGGTAGTCACCGGACGATTCGTTTTCAGCAGTGAATTTGATCGTCGGATGGCAGTTGTTTAGAGCACCGAGTAGGTGTTCTGCTTTTTCGGCAGTGTCTGCACCGACGAAAGTGTCATCTATGTAGCGACTACATGAATGCACATTGTGTATGTGAGGACCTAGGTTAGTGCTTTCCAGCTGGCTCATGAAAATATCAGTCAAGACAGGCCCAAGTGAACTGCCCATGGTACACCATCAATCTGTCGATACAGTGTGTCGTCGTACCTAAACTGGACGTCCTTTGTGCACAAACGTAGTAGTGATTTCAGATGAGGAGCTGGAAATCGAACTTTGTCAGCACGTGCGCCTATTTTGTTCGGAGTCTCTTCTCAGCGAACACTGGTGAACAATGAACACATCAAATGCGACCACGTGTTGCCATTCTGCGCTCAGATTCCGTAGTTTGCTGACAAATTCGAACGTATCTATGCGACTGTATTCGGCTGGATCGCACCGAGTACGTTCGACTAGTTGGGCTAACCATCGCGTTAATTTCTGTTACGGAAGGCCGACTATCGAAACGATCGGGCGCAGGGGACAATTTCCTTATGGGTCTTCGGTAGGCCGTACATACGGTGGAGTCGAGACCCCTAAGAATGGAGCTGTGTCATAGTTTTCGTGTTCATCAGTCCTATCTTCATCAGCCTTTTTAGTTCACGAAGTAGCGATCTCTCGACTTGTTCGGTTCTATCACGACCTGTCACGTCGCGAACGAAACGGCTCGTGTCAGTTAGAACCATGCATTTTCTGAACATAATCAACTTTTCCATTAGATATCCTTACCTGTAGAATTGAAGACTGGTAGTTCTGGTTGTTCAAATGACGGTTGAACTGTTCGCTGAGCTTGGAAATTTCGCTGCAGACGTTTCGTCACCAATCGAGGTGACATCATCAGTGCGTAGTTAAGTGGCGTGCAGTAGCGTAGAGGAGCCTCGGTGAGAGTGCGCTGAGCGCACTAGTGAGGTCACCTCGATTAGTGAAGAAATGGTTGCAAAAAATTGCCAAACTCAACGAACAATTCAACCGCCATAACCCCACCTGTTCGCACGTTAGGCATCAATATGACTACATTCTCTTTTCGTAATTCCATCAAACACGCCCAGTGATGTTTGGTCCAAATGCTCCACTTTTCGGTTTCGGCAACACAAAATTGATTGACCAGATCCACTGCCTTAGCCTTCAACCAACCACTTGCTTCATCCGTCGCAGGTGTCAGATTGGGCAATTGCTCGTATAGGTTTTCAAATTGAGCTTTAATTCCTATTCCATCGCATAAAGAAATTAACTCCAAGTGACAGCGCCTCAAGTTATGGATGACTTAGTGAGACAGATGACAAATTAAGCACGTACCTCTCGGGTTCGCTTGGCATATGATCATTGAAGCACACCACTGACATCGAGTTCCGGAGGTATTGCTTTGTTGTAAGTTACGTTTTCCTAAACATCTCATGGAGGAAATGAAAGCAGTTTTCCCATCACACAAGACGCAAACTGTCTAGGGCATGGTCGGAACATCCTATTCTGGCGTTTAACTCGGCAACGCGTTGAACGCATGCCTTAATGTGAGGTTTCGTAAAACGTCGCAAGTTTCGAGGGTTCACTGGTAATTTGTCATTTTGCGGAGATTCCAAGAATCGACGCGGATAACTGAAGGTCCGGTGGGAGAGGTTTCTTTAGAAATTTGTTATAAGAGTTTCTTTTCACAAATTTCAAAATGACAAGAAAGAACGACATTTCGTCAGGATAATCTGAATGGAGCTATTTCGCATATTCTCATCAGCCATTTACACACAATTAGTGGAATGGCTAGGTTGTATACAGAGACATTCAAGGTGCAACGTCACTGGATAATAGCAAGCGGTCAAAGTTCATCTGATGCTAACTGGCATTCCGCTTAGAGGAAGGTGGCCACCAGCCTCACAAAGGCAAGACGAGACTGGTGACGAACTCGATCTGTTTACACAAAGTGGGTTTCATCCGCCTAATTGCCGAGGCCTCAGCGAATTGAAGCAGGCGAGTGGCGCTCTGTCGATTGATTATCCCAACTGAGCCTGGCAGATGTGCCCGTTCGGTTTGTTAGATAATTATCCGTCAATAGATCTGTCACATAGCGAGATGTCTTGTACCATTGGTGCAGTGAATAATATCAACTCGGAGGTGTTCTAACTGCAATAGGTTCATAGAAAGAACTACGAAGTTATTAATCGCCAAGCATATATAACTATGTGAATCAAGCATCCAAACTACACATCTGGGAAGCTCGCCAAAGAAGTGAAGTTGCTACTCTGAGCAGAAGCGATCTAAGGGGCCAATGACGGAAGTTCCAGTCTTCCTTTATATTTTTTAATGAAAGTAGGTCATGCTATTATAGGTTTGGAAACGAACCCATGGACTCTACTGCCCACATTGGTTTTGGTGTTTCAGTGAAAACTGCCAACGTTCAACTGGAACGCCAGTTTTGATATTACTCAGTGAATTAGTTGGCCTGTCTACTGATGTTGTTTCGACGGCGCAGTCTTTATCTCCGCCAACAAGCAATCGATCTGTATTGTTTAATCCATCCTTCAATGTAAAATTAGACACAGACACCTGATCGCATCCAACAAATACAGGAAACCAATCATACCAATCTTATAGGCTTTGGGGAGAAAAGCAACAAGCTTGAAAATCCATTGCCAATTTTCCATGGCGCGGTCTTTGGCCCAGTTCAGCCTAATTCCAGCCACACTGAATTCTAATTGTGAAGACCACAATTATTCTGCATACCAAATTCATCATTTACAAACAAGATCAACATACCAAAACTAGATAACGCGCATACAGTCCTGTCGTTGAATCCAAATGCTTCATACGGTCCGGTGTAACTGAAAATCACACCCCTTATCATGATGAACCGCGGAAATGACAGAGGGACACTGCGTCTCACACAGTGACATCTCCTCCTTGTTCCTAATAAAGCACAGATCGCGTACAAACAGGTTGAATACTACTAGTACTATTGCTACTACTATTACTACTATTATTGCTACCACGACTACTACCGCCACTACTACCACAATTACTACTACTACTGCTACTACTACTACTACTACTACTACCACTACTACTACTGCTACTTGGTGACTTGTATTATCGATTGCACCCGACAGACCGAACTAGTCGTATACTCCCTATCCCGAATGGCCGCATGCACTGTCATGCAGTGTGAAACCGGGCCACATGATTTGGTAACATCCGGAGAAGTTAACATATCCTCTCTTGTTATCCAGTCAGCTGCTCCGAGTATGCTGTGTAAGCGCACAACCATTCTAGCTATTCCTTTCTCTCCATAACGCCAAGTTGGATGGAAGCGAATGTGGTATCGGTTCACCGTCCTCCAGCGGTCTTCTCTTGCAGTGTACGCAAGATAAACGAAGCAACGGCTATCGGTCTGCATTCTCCTGGGTGAGTTGGATCTACCCTTCTAAGCAAAACGAAGGTGCGCGCTAACTAGTTACACGATGGAGCCCATTTCATCAAAACCTCAAAGTTGGTAAGTTGTTCCAGAACCTTGGGTCAATAGACCATGTTCGTACAGTGATTGAGAGCCGCTTCTACCTCGGATGATTTGAGGGGCCCTACAAAGTTTAAACTAGGGTCGGATGGACGTGACCTATTATAGGTAGTGTTTGGTGCGTAGGAACACTCCACCCTGTGCGCCTGATGTTCCAATCCAACATTGTTATCAAAATTACAGACTTCTATCCAGGTACTATCCAGAACACATTTTAAAACGAGTTCTTTCTACACCCTACACAGACTCTGTATTGCCTCATAGCTACGTTTATAAATCTTTTCCCTTCAAGTTGGAGTGAGTGTGGCAGGAATTGCATTCGTAATTTTATGCCTGAGAAGAAAAGTCTTCGTTTGTGGATCCAAATGCGAGTTTGGCTTGATTCAAAATTATGACCTTATTGAGCATAGTCAGGGAACGTAGCTTTGGACCAAAATTGCCTCTTTAATAACGAGTAATATGGTACGTTAAAGCTCTCCTTTAAAGTATATTCTTCAAGCGTATGTAGTTGGGGTTTTCATATATCACACGCGCAGAAGACCAATAGTTCAATATAGCTTCCACATCCACGGTGTCTCACATGATCGTACGAAATGGAACCAATGATTTTCTACTGACCTCCGACTGAGAGAAGTACACAGTGTCTTCATACTTTTCCACACTTTTTCCACTTTTTGGCTACCACGTGTATCCCAGAACCGGGATAAAAGTATTGCTTGGTAGTTACTGAAATGGGGCACGATGGTCAGCTCACTTCGAAAGAGGGCGGCCAAACTTTGGCGGCTGTTTCTTGATTGCAACAGCACTATCATCCGGGATGGAGAAAGCCGCTTCGTACAGTTTTATTGCACTGTTTCAAGGCTTCTTGAATAATCACAAGGACGAAAACTATGTACAACTAGTTAAGTCTCGCATAGAAAACGGTTAATTTTAGATGCTACATGTTCCTCAAATTCCTTATTCTTGATGCTTCTCTCGGTAAATTCGAGAAGAACATGAGATATTACCCGGAGGGGCAAGTTGAGCGCTCTAGCCGGGATATATTGTGCGATGTTTTGGGACATTCTCGCAAAAACATTGTACACTATAGTCGCAAATCTAGAAAAGCTACCCATTACTGAATGAGTATTCGGTTATTTATCCAGTCTTCATGGATAGATATGCTAGTATACCTCATGTTTTTCCTGAAGTTTGAAATGAAAATTCAATGTAAAAATTTGCCTGCATTCACTTTATGATTTCGAAATGCTTGTAGGCTGTGGTAGTAAAATCAATGTCTATGCTGAATATAGATGTTTTTGTTTATGTATCTAACGAAATAGTTAAAATACAATATTTATACCCCGAGAACAAAAATAATGTTTTGTAGTGTAAGCAATAAAAGATTGTGTGTCCTAGTCCAGACGTACGTGCTTTAGCCACTGTCCTTAATAATAACTGAGTTGACTACTGCTAGTAAGGAACGGTATCACTTTTGTAGCTGTGATTTGTGTGTTAGCTCATCTACACAGTACAAAAGTGGATTTTTCTTCCCCTCCGGTACAAATACGGGCTCGAAATTCTCCCTAATTTCACTGTTTTATTACCTACAGGAGCTACCGGCAATTAAAGCGTACATGAATTCTGAAAGGTTTATCAAATGGCCCCTTCACTTTCCGTACGCAGCCTTTGGAGGCGGAGATGCACCTGCGGTTCAATAGTAACTACACTTTGACACAATGTGCCCCAGCCAGTTCGTTTGCTGAATGTCGGATAAATGACTGCAGGTGACGCTGTCACACACATCGACATGGGATTTGTTGAATAATAAACAGCATACCTCATTTTTCTATTCTTCTCACTTCACGGCTGGTAGTCATATTTCAGCCTAAATCCGAACGCTTCGTAGCAAATAACCACCACTCAGCTATTCGTAGGTGAACTCAAGGTTTTATTACACAACTGGGAATCGAGGCTGCCGTCGGATCGTGTTCAAATCCACCAAGTGTTGCGCCGCAAAGAAATCAATCACAAAATAAGTGCTCTTTATCCAGCGATTTGTTCCTTCTGTGAACTAAAACGGAAAAACTGTGTTCACAATACCTAGCCATGACGCATTAGATTCTTTTGGCTAAGGCTGTGAACTCGTTGACTAACTGTGCCAACAGTAGCTCGCATGTGACGCAATAAAGTTATAGAACCACAAGAATTTACTGAATAGCTCAGCCCTCAGGTTTCAGTTTCTTAGCTAAATACGATGTCTGAGGCAAGTTGTGGAACAAAATGGTTATTGAGGTCAATGAACACAACACTGTGCTCATGGGGAATGCGTTCTCGGTTCAAAACAAAGTGGCGGTTGAGTGTCTCAGCAATGGACTGATTATACCTGGCCTTCAAAACCGTTACATAAAAATACCGTATTTTGGTGATAGCCAGTAACTTGAGGGAAACTAATTCTATGCATTCATTTCTCGCATTTGGCACGAGGTTAAATTTGTGATGATACTATGGAAGAGGCATTGCGGGGTTGATGTTAATCTCTTAGTGAAATCTCCGTCGATTGTACGGAAGAAGCATGATTAAGATATTCATGTAGAATTCCTTAGTGTTACCATTGATTGCATCACGACAAACCCATACCGCAGTCATCTGGTGTAGAACAGTAAATCTTAAGGATTTTGAGGCTGTGACCCACAAAGCGGATTCAGTATCAACAATTACCCATCAAAAATGTTAGAGTTGAAAGCCAAGTAGCTATTAAATATTGCAGCTGTTGTTTCAAACTACGGAAAATGAATACCATTTTTAATTGCTTTCGATTATTCAAGTAAAGTAAACCCTATCCTTGAGCAACCAGTTCATTTGGTTCCTTGCTTGGTGTGTGTGATCCCTAATCAAAAGGGGAACGGGGGTCAATGGATCCTCAGTTGCTTCAACCGCCCCTTCGAAGTCCATCCTAGATGACAGCTTCACCCCGCCACTGTATCGATACAACTTGAACACTAATCGCCTGTTTTGTGCCTTCTATCTTGTAAACCTTTGCTCCTTCGTTTACCTGGTCGCCTGACCTGTGCTCCCACCTTAGTGTTCACTCAATTCTGTAATTCGACCCGGCGAACGATTGCCTGAATTAAAAGAACTACGATCGACGAGAGAGCCAATAAGTGCACCATGTAGCCGCGCTGCTTTTCAGGCTTGTGTTCGAATTTTACTTAATAAAATGTATTGCCGTAATTGTCCGAATAACTGAACACTCACTAATGATTGGTCACTGATAGCTAATCTACAGTGATTCTGTAGTTATTTGTATAATCAATAAAGAGGCTTTTTAAGCTTCTGTTTGGCGATAGATTGAATATCCTATCCTAGTGCTCATATGAACCCCCGTAAAATTCCATTTACTCCCTTTGGGGTAATTACCCCCAAGTGTGGAATGTAAGTAAACTTTTGTCCGTCAAATGCGATTCATAACGAGTGAGTTATTCTCTGTGTCTGGTTTGTGTTCAATGAATTGCACAGCACACAGCAGTCAGTTCTGATAACCTGTATTGTAATATGGTTCGATCCCATTGGAGGGATCATTTTGAAGCGGGCCCCGTGACCAATTTGACCAGTCTTCACTTCAGTGTGAATCGCGCTTCTGATTGAGATTGCTTGCTTCAATCCGTTCACGCAACACACAATGAACAATGAATTTATACGGGTTAAGAAGCGTTGCTTTACAAGTCCCGTTGGATAGTTGGTGGGGATATCAACATAACAATAATGATGATAAGGGTAGTAAAATAGTTAATACTTTAAATATGAAAATAAGGACTTATCTTTTGCTTCGCTGTAGTCCTGCGATCCTCTTAGATTCACAGCACCCACAGTTAACAACAAATAATTTCATGGTAAACTCCAGGTGCAGGATGGAGACGTAATGTTAAGTAACAAAGTGTAAGTGGATGGGTGCATCATCCAACCATCTTTTAAATACTGTTAGTGTCGGTGCCGAGACGACCGATCCTGGGAGAGCATTTCACGGGTGACAGACACGAATGGAAAAGAAATTGCTGTAGCACTCCAGACGACTGTATATTTCTGTGAGTTTTGATGAGTGGCTCCTCAGGTTTGTATTGCTGCTGAGTTGCAGTAAAGGGTGGCGCATATGATGTGGGTCTCGCAGAATCAAGTATCCCATAATCAGATCGCCTCGTAGTCTGCGATAGCTTCCACTGAACGATCCCAGTCGTCACAGCCTATATTTGTAGGAAAGATTGCGCATTCCAATTATGTTCTTAGATGCCCGACGTCGTGGCTGCTCCAGTGCATTAAAGTCATGTTTCAGCCATGGATGCCAGGCTTGGATTGCGTATTCGACATGGGGGCGAACATACGCACTGAGCATTTGTCGAAATATGGAGCTGTTTATTCGTCCAAACGCCCGTCGCAACTGCCCGACGTGTTGGTTCCCGGTCTTCGGTATGAGCAGCTGCCCTGATGTCGGATGGAAAGCACCTTGCATTTACTGACGTTGAAATACAATAAGTTTTGGGTCGACCATTGATACGCCGTATCTAGGTCACTCTGAAGCACATGTTGGTCGACGTTCGCCTGGATCCTGCGCCAGAGCTTGATATCGTCGGCAAACATTAGAAAGTTTGAAGTGATTCCCTGTGCAACGTCATTAATAAACATCAAAAACAAACGTGGACCTAGAACTGAGCCTTGCAGCACATCAAACTCAACTTGTATGGCGTTCGATAAAGAGCTCTGAACTCTGACCACTAATTGCTGTTGAAGTAGAAAGTTGGCGATCCGGCTTACAAAAGGGTCGCCGATCCCTAATGCTGCAGCTTGGAGGATAGTATCCGATGGTCTAGACAATCGAAAGCCTTGGAAAAATCCAGGTAGTTCACATCAACACCTTCTCCAGAGTCAGCTGCCTCGGTCCAACTACTGCGTGCAATTAGTAAATTCGTTGTACATGACCGCTGTCGACGGAAACCTTGCTGTTCAGGAGTGATGATGTTGCAGTTTTCCAGATAGCACACCAATGCATCGGCAACTACGGATTCCATGACCTTGTGGAGCATATGAAGAAGGGATACTGGGCGGTACTTGGGGGGATCAGTTCTGCTTCTCCCTTCGTGAATCGGGGTTATTACTCCAAGCTTCTACATGGCGGGAACTTGGTTCCGGTCTAAGCAGCACTGGAAAAAGTGAGCTCACGGCCTGCCAGTTGGCTTGCTGCTGCTTCCAGTGCCTCTGGACGAATGGTGTCGTCACTCGGCGAGCTGTGTTTGCGTAGAGACGTCAGCTTTTGCAATACAGCCTCCGCGATAAAAGTTATGTGGGCTAGTCTTGACAAGGAGAAGACAAAGCTTGCTAGGTCGTCTGGTGGCAAGACCGTTTGAAACATGGGAGCGTATTGCATCTGCAGTGCGTTTGCTGATTCCACAACCGTTTTTGTTGGGCCATCAGCCGTCCTGAGTGGAGGAAATCCTTGCCTCACCTTTCGTAGGCTATTAACGTGCTTGTACAGCAGTTTGTGGTGAGCGTTGAAGGATTTTGCGATGTTCTGCTGATAGGCGGCTTTGTTTTCGCTTAACAGTTGAGTGCAGTGGTTACGTTGGGCTACGTATTTGTCCCAAGTTTCTTGTGCTGGAGCTTCTCTGTACACTCGCCATGCTGCGTTGCGTACTGTCATCAATTTTCGAGTTCTGCTCCTAACATAAGAAACTGATGTACACTTATAGCAAACTTTAATCTCTGAAACCTCTGCAATCAGCTGACTGAATTTTTTGACGAACTCGAGCCAGGCAACTTCCGGGGGTTCTTCGAGGAACGACCAAGTTGTGGCGCTGACGAGCTGGGCTAATCGATCGTAGCTTGTGATGCTTCGCACAGTCTTATCGTTCTCATTCAGCTATTGTGCATAGCAGACGAAGTTGAAACTGACCACAGTGTGATCCCTGCGACATAACGGGCAGTCTAAAACCAACATATCAATCATATGCTCCTCGTTGGTAAGCACAAAATCCAGAACAGATGACGTGTGACCTTTTCTGAACCGAGTGGGTAAAGTGATGTGATTGTAAAGAGGCATAGTACTTCATGATAACCCTTCAATGAGTCATCAACCACTTTAGTAGGCTTTGCCCGCCGCAAATCTGCGATGTAGGGACACAGGTTTCACCTGATTTCTCAAAAGCTCCTGCTATCTCAACCTGATGCAATGGTCGCGGGGTGCAGTTTGTGAATGGGTAGCAGCCAGTATTTTGTCTTCCATCTGTTTTACGTGCATCTCACCACACTCTGCAACAGGCATTCAGCTAGCTAGTTACGTCTTAGTTTCGTTCAAAGCACAGGCTGTTACATGATAGAATGAGCGAATGTGTAAACAAACATCCGGGTTTACACCATTGTACACCTACTCTACAGCTGCTTTTCTAGGTCAGACAGGGAGAGAGCTGAGCGAAAGAATGGTATTTCACGTACACAGCGCACGGTAGCAATGCGAGTGGTCTAGGCGTAACATGCGGAATGGATGCTGGGGGGTGCTCTGCCCCGGGCGGAATGTGTGACATGGGACGGCACTGTTAGTGGCAGATGTGACTCTACACTGAACAAAGTCACGACCCATCATTTCTCACTGTCCACAGCCATCGGAATTCTACAGGCAGCCTTTGCAACCACTTCATGAAATAGCGCTCAACCGATTTTGATATGGAGAATGCTTTAACGCAGTCAGGATCATTCCTCTCGTTTAACGGAGAACATTTGCACCAAACATTTACATTGGCTACTGTTCTCATGAAACCATAGATTACAACATGGCGAATGAACGAAACTAAGACGTAACTAGCTAGCTGAATGTCTGTTGCAGTGTGTGGTGAGATGCACGTAAAACAGATGGAAGACAAAATACTGGATGCTACCCATTCACAAACTGCACCCCGCGACCATTGCATCAGGTTGAGATAGCAGGAGCTTTTGAGAAATCATTTGAAACCTGTGTCCCTATTCCGCAGAGTTACGACGGGCAAAGCTCACTAAAGTGGTTGATGACTCAGTGAAGGGATATCTTAAAGTACTATGCCTTTTTACAATCACATCACTTTGCCCCTCGGTTCCGAACAGGTAACAGGCCATCTGTGCTGGATCTTGTGCTTACCAACGATGAGCATATGATTGATATGTTGGTTTTAGACTGCCCGTTGTGTCGCAGTGATCACGCCTTGGTCAGTTTCAACTTCGTCTGCTATGCAGAATAGCTGTATGAGGAATATGAGACTGTGCGAACCATCACAAGCTACGATCGGTTAGCTCTCGAAGAACCCCCGGAGGTCGCCTGGCTCGAGTTCATCAAAAAATTCAGTCAGCTGATTGCAGAGGATTCAGAGATAAAAGTTTGCTATAAGTGCAAATCAGTTTCGTACGTTAGGAGCAGAACTCGAAGACTGATGACAGCACGCAACGCAGCATGGCGAGTGTACAGAGAAGCTCCAGCACAAGAAACTCGGAAAACAACTACGTAGCCCAACTTAACCACTGCACTCAACTGTTAAGGGAAGACAAAGCCGCCTATCAGCAGAACATCGCAAAAACCTTCAGTGCTCACCACAAACTGCTGTACAAGCACGTTAATAGACTGCGAAAGGTGAGGCAAGGATTTCCTCCACTCAAGACGGCTGATGGCCCAACAAAAACGGTTGTGGAATCAGCAAACGCACTGCAGATGCAATACGCTCCCATGTTTCAAACGGTCTTGCCACCAGACGACCTAGCAAGCTTTGTCTTCTCCTTGTCAAGACTAGCCCACATAACTTTTACCGCGGAGGCTGTATTGCAAAAGCTGACTTCTCTACGCAAACACAGCTCGCCGAGTGTCGACACCATTCGTCCAGAGGCACTGGAACCAGCAGCAAGCCAACTGGCAGGACCTTAAGCTCAGTTTTTCCAGCGCTGCTTAGACCAGAACCAAGTTCCCGCCATGTGGAAGCTTGGAATAATAACCCCGATTCACGAAAGGTGGAAGCAGAACTGATCCCCCAACTACCGCCCAGTATCCCTTCTTCATATGCTCCACAAGGTCATGGAATCCGTAGTTGCCGATGCATTGGTGTGCTATCTGGAAAACTGCAACATCATCACTCCTGAGCAGCACGGTTTCCGTCGACAGCGGTCATGTACAACGAATTTACTAATTGCACGCAGTAGTTGGACCGAGGCAGCGGACGCTGGAGAAGGTGTTGATGTGAACTACCTGGATTTTTCCAAGGCTTTCGATTGTCTAGACCATCGGATACTACTCTCCAAGCTGCAGCATTACGGGATCGGCGACCCTCTTTTCAGCCGGATCGCCAACTTTCTACTTTAACAGCAATTAGTGGTCAGAGTTCGGAGCTCTTTATCGAACTCCATACAAGTTGAGTGTGACGTGCCGCAAGGCTCAGTTCTAGGTCCACGTTTGTTTTTGTTGTTTATTAATGACGTCGCACAGGGCATCGCTTCAAACTTTCTAATGTTCGCCGACGATATCAAGCTCTGGCGCAGGATCCAGGCGAACGTCGACCAACATGTGCTTCAGAGTGACCTAGATACGGCGTAGCAATGGTCGACCCAAAACTTATTGTATTTCAACGTCAGTAAATGCAAGGAGTTTTCCATCCGACATCAGGGCAGCTACTCATACCGAAGACCGGGAACCAACACGTCGGGCAGTTGCGACGGGCGTTTGGGCAAGTAAACAGCTCCATATTTCGACAATGCTTAGTGCGTGTGTTCGCCCCCATGTCGAATACGCAATCCAAACCTGGCATCCATGGCTGAAACATGACTTTAATGCACTGAAGCAGCCACAACGTCGGGTATCTAAAAACATAATTGGAATGCGCAATCTTTCCTACCATGAGAGGCTGCAACGATTGGGGATGTTCAGTGGAAGCTATCGCAGACTACGAGGCGATCTGATTATGGGATACTTGATTCTGCGAGACCCACATCATATGTGCCACCCTTTACTGCAACTCAGCAGTAATACAAACCTGAGGAGCCACTCATCGAATCTAGCAGAAAAATACAGTCGTCTGGAGTGCCGCAGAAATTTCTTTCCATTTGTGTCTGTCACCCGTGGAATGCTCTCTCAGGATCGGTCGTCTCGGCATCGACACTAACAGTATTTAAAAGATGGTTGGATGATGCACCCATCCACTTACACTTTGTTACTTAACATTACGTCTCCATCCTACACCTGGAGTATACCATGAAATTATTTGTTGTTAACTGTGGGTGTTGTGAATCTAAGAGTATCGCAGGACTACATGGAAGCAAACGAGAAGTCCTTATTTTCATATTTAAAGTATTAACTATTTTACTACCCTTATCATCATTATTGTTATGTTGATATCCCCACCAACTATTTAACGGGACTTGTAAAGCAACGCTTCTTAACCCGTATAAATTCATTGTTCATTGCGTGTTGCGTGAACCGATTGAAGCAAGCAATCTTAATCAGAAGCGCCATTCATACTGAAGTGAAGACTGGTCAAATTGGTCACGGGACCCGCTTCAAAATGATCCCTCCAGTGGGATCGAACCATATTACAATACAGATTATCAGAACTGACTGCAGTGTGCTGTGCAATTCATTGAAAACAAACCAGACACAGAGAATAACTCACTCGTTATGAATCGCATTTGACGGACAAAAGTTTACTTACATTCCACACTTGGGGGTAATTACCCCAAAGGGAGTAAATGGAATTTTACGGGGGTTCATATGAGCACTAGGATAGGATATTCAATCTATCGCCAAACAGAAGCTTAAAAAGCCTCTTTATTGATTATACAAATAACTACAGAATCACTGTAGATTAGCTAGCAGTGACCAATCATTAGTGAGTGTTCAGTTAATCAGACAATCACGGTAATAAATTTTATTAACTTCAATTCGAACACAAGCCTGTAAAGCAGCGCGGCTACGTGGTGCATTTATTGGCTCTCTCGTCGATCGTAGTTCTTTTGATTCAGGCAATCGTTCGCCGGGTCGAATTACAGAATTGAGTGAACACTAAGGTGGGAGAACAAATTAGGCAACCAGGTAAAGGAAGGAGCAGAGGTTTACAAGATAGAAGGCACAAAACAGGCGATTAGTGTTCAAGTTTTATCGATACAGTGGCGGGGTGAAGCTGTCATCTAGGATGGACTTCGAAGGGGCGGTTGCAGCAACTGAGGAGCCATGGACCCCCGTTCCCCTTTTAATTAGGGATCACACACACCAAGCAAGGAACCAAATGAACTGGTTGCTCAAGGATAGGGTTTACTTAACTTGAATAATCGAAAGCAATTAAAAGTGGTATTCATTTTCCGTAGTTTGAAACAACAGCTGCAATATTTAATAGCTACTTGGCTTTCAACTCTAACATTTTTGATGGGTAATTGTTGATACTGAATCCGCTTTGTGGGTCACAGCCTCAAAATCCTTAAGATTTACTGTTCTACACCAGATGACTGCGGTATGGGTTTGTCGTGATGCAGATAAAGTAATTCCAGTACAAATCAATGGTAACACTGAGGACCTCTATATGAATATCTTAATCATGCTTCTTCCGTACAATCGACGGAGATTTCACTAAGAGACTAACATCAACCCCGCAGTGCTTCTTCCATAGTATCAGCCCAAATTTAACCTCGTGCCAAATGCGAGAAATGAATGCATAGAATAAGTTTCCCTCAAGTTACTGGCTATCAGCAAAATACGGTATTTTTATGTAACGGTTTTGAAGGCCGGGTATAATCAGTCCATTGCTGGGACACTCAACCGCCACTTTGTTTTGAACCGAGAACGCATTTCCCATGAGCACAGTGTTGTGTTCATTGACCTCAATAGACAATTTGTTCCACAACTTGACTCAGACATGGTATTTAGCTAAGAAACTGAAACCTGAGGGCTGAGCTTTTCAGTAAATCATTGTGGTTCTATAACTATTGCGTCACATGCAAACCACTGTTGGCACAGTTAGTCAACAAGTTCACAGCCTTAGCCAATAAAAACCTAATGCGTCATGGCTAGGTATTGTGAACACAGTTTTTCCGTTTAAGTTCACAGAAGGAACAAATCGCTGGATAAAGAGCATTTATTTTGTGATTGATTTCTTTGCGGCGCAACACTTGGTGGATTTGAACACGATCCGACGGCAGCCTCGATTCCCAGTTGTGTAATAAAACCGTGAGTTCACCTACGAATAGCTGAGTGGTGGTTATTTGCTATGAAGCGTTCGGATTTAGGCTGAAAAATGGCTACCAACCGTGAATTGAGAAGAATAGAAAAATGAGGTATGCTGTTTATTACTCAACAAATGCCATGTCGATGTGTGTGTGACAGCGTCACCTGCAGTCATTTATCCGACATTCAGCAAACGAACTGGCTGGGGCACATTGTGTCAAAGTGTAGTTTCTATTGAGCTGGAGGTGCATCTCCGCCTCCGAAGGCTGCGTGCCAAGCGTGAAGGGGCCATTTGATGAACCTTTCAGAATTCATGTACGCTTTAATTGCGGGTAGCTCCTGTAGGTAATAAAACAGTGAAATTAGGGAGAAATTCGAGCCCGTATTTGTACCGGAGGGGAAGAAAAATCCACTTTTGTACTGTGTAGATGAGCTAACTCACAAATCACAGCTACAAATGTGATACCGTTCCTTACTAGCAGTAGTTAACTCAGTTATTATTAAGGACAGTGGCTAAAGCACGTACGTCTGGACTAGGACACACAATCTTTTATTGCTTACACTACAAAACATTATTTTTGTTCTCGGGGTATAAATATTGTATTTTAACTACTTTGTTAGATACACAAACAAAAACATCTATATTCATCATATACATTGATTTTACGGCCACAGCATACAAGCATTTCGAAATTATAAAGTGAAAGAAGGCAAATTTTTACACTGAAGTTTCATTTCAAACTTCAGGAAAAACATGAGGTATACTAGCATATCTATCCATGAAGACTGGATAAATAACCGAATACTCATTCAGTAATGGGTAGCTTTTCTAGATTTGCGACTATAGTGTGCAATGTTTTTGCGAGGAAGGCACAAAACATCGCACAATATATCCCGGCTAGAGCGCTCAACTTGCCCCTCCGGGTAATCTCCCATGTTCTTCTCGAATTTACCGAGAGAAGCATCAAGAATAAGGCATTTGAGGGACATGTAGCGTCTAAAATTAACCGTTTTCTATGCGAGACTTCACTAGTTGTAGATAGTTTTCACCCTTGTGATTATTCAAGAAGCCTTGAAACAGTGCAATAAAACTGTACGAAGCGGCTTTCTCCATCCCGGATGGTAGTGCTGTTGCAATCAAGAAACAGCCGCCAAAGCTTGGCCGCCCTCTTTCGAGGTGAGCTGACCATCGTGTCCCATTTCAGTAACTACCAAGTAATACTTTTATCCCGTTTCCGGGTTACACGAGGTAGCCAAAAGCGTATGTGGAAAAGTATGAAGACACTGTGTACTCCTCTCAGTCCGAGATCAGCAGAAAATCATTGGTTCCGTTTCATGCGATCATGTGAGACACCGTGGATGTGGAAGCTATATTGAACTGTTGGTCTTGTGCGCGTGTGTTATATGAAAACCCCAACTATATAAGCTTGAAGAATATACTTTAAAGGTGAGCTTTAACGTACCATATTACTCGTTATTAAGGAGGCAATTTTGGTCCAAAGCTACGTTCCCTGACTATGCTCAATAGGGTCATACTTTTGAATCAAGCTAAACTTGCATTTGGATCCACAAACGAAGACTTTTCTTTTCAGGCCTAAACTTACGAAGGCGATTCCTGCCAGATTCACTACAACTTGAAGGGAAAAGATTCGTAAACGCATCTACAGGGCAATACAGAGGCTGTGTAGGGTGTAGAAAGAAAACGCTTTGATGTGCGTTTTGGATGGTCCCTGGAACGTAGTCTGTAATTTTGATAACAATGTTGGATTGGAACATCAGGTGCACAGGGTGAAGTTATCCTACGCACCAAACACTACCTATAATAGATCACTCCCATCCGACCCTAGTTTAAACATTGTTATGCCCCTCAAATCATTCGAGGTAGAAGAAAAGAAAGCGGCAGAAGGCTAAGAGAAGCGGGGGCCTCCTCAATCACTGTCATTGAAACAGGTCTATTGACCCAAAAGGTTGGAATAAATTAAACTTACCAACTTTGATAGGTTTAGCTTTTGATGATGAAATAGGGCCCCCCCGCACCCCCCCCCCATTCGTGTTGTAAACTAGTTAAGCACGCACTTTCGTTGTTTGCTTCCTTTAGAAGAGTAGATCCAACTCACCTAGGAGGGAATGCACATAGACCGATAGCCGTTTGCTTCTTTTTTGTTGCTTTTTTTTTTTTTTTGCCGATAGGCAGTTTTGCTGTTTGTGCTTTTTGCGTGCGTTTTATTTTGTTGCTTCGACGTTGAGCTCGTGTGTTTTTTTTTTTATTTTGCTTTGTTTTTTTCTTTGCTTGTTTATCGTGCGTATTTTATTTTTTACCAACTGCAGTGAAAGGTAAAAGGACCGCTGGGTCCCGCTCCCCGCTTCTTTCTGGCGCAGGACGGTTGAATGTTGGTGTTGATGACCGACACACCACCACCAACATTTCAACTTCCATCCAAGCCATAAGTCTGTGGAGAGGAGGAGAGAAAAAAAGGAATAGCGAGGTGGAAGAGATGCATCGTTGTTTGTGTTTTTTCTCGATCAAATTGTGTTTGGTGTCTTGTGCGGCATGCTCGCTTAGCTTGGGGTGTGCGCTTTCACTGCATTCTCGCGAGCAGCTAAGCTGATAGCAGCCTGCTGCTGAGTGACCTGGATAAAAACAAGAGAGGACATGTTTTGTTAACTTCTCTGCCGGATGTTTCCAAATTTATGTGGCCCGGTTTTTTTCGCCTACATCACAGTCAGGCGGCCTGTCGGGGGGTTGTTCGGGTAGGTTGGGGAAGAATAAGAATAGCCATTAGTTCGGTCTGTCGGGTTTCAAGGATATAATTACAATAGTCACACAAGGTAGTAGTAGTAGTAGTAGTAGTAGTAAGTAGTAGTAGTAGTAGAAGTTAGTAGTAGTAGTAGTAGTAGTAGAGTAGTAGTAGTAGTAGTAGTGAGTAGTAGTGTAGTAGTAGGATGTAGTAGTAGTAGTAGTAGTAGTAGTAGTACGCGAAAGCTGTTTGTTTGTGGTTTTATTAGGATAATCAGGAGAGGGAGATATTATTGTTGTGTGGACACAGTTGTGTGGGCCCCCCCTCCCCCCCCCCCCTCCCTCTGTCATTTCCGCTTGGTTCGGGGTTCATCATGATGAACTATGATACATGGTTTTTGTTGGTGTTGGATGTTTCGGGGGGGTTTGTTAACTTGGACCGTGTTAGATGAAACATTATTTTTGGATTTTTTCAACGACAGAAAAAACTATTGGGCGCGTTCGGTTGCCTGTTGCGCGTATTATCTAGTTTTGGCATTGTTGATCTCTGTTTGTAAATGATTGAATTTGGTACGCAGATTAATTTGGATCTTCACAATTAGAAATCCAGGTCGTGGCTTGGAATTAGGCTGAACTGGGCCCAAAGAACCGGCCGCCATGGAAAATTGGCCAACCATGGATTTTCAAGCTATGTTGCCTATTCTCCCAAAGGCCTATAGATTGGTTTTTTATTTTTTTATATGATTGGTTTCCTGTATTTGTTTGGATATATAATTGCTGGATCAGGGCGTCTGTTGCGTCTCCTTTGTGGTTCCTAATTTTACATTGAAGGATAGGGATGGATTTACATTTGAAGTAGGATGGATATTAATTTTTTTTTTTTTTTTATTTTTTTAAACAATTACAGAATCGATTGCTTGTCGTGGCGGAGGGATTAGATATAAAGAACTGCGTCCCGTCGCGACCGAACCCCGTCTCGATTCTTCGACGACAACAACAATCAGTTGACAGGGCCAAAACTAATTCATGAATAATATCAAAACTGGCCGTTCCAAAGTTTTTGATGCGTTGGCAAGTTTTTTTCACTGGAATCTGGGAAACACCACACAAAAAACAATCGTGAGGCAGTAGAGAATAGAGAGTAGAGTAGAGTAGGGCACAAAGTTAGAGTAGTTTAAGTAGAAAGGTTTAATAGAAGAAAGGAGTAGATGAAGTAGTAGAAAAATTAGTTTAGTTCGAGTTTAGAGAGTAATTTAGAAAGTCCATGGGTTCTCGTTTCCAAACCTTTTATAGCATAACTGAAGGATGACACTTACTTTCATTAAAAAATATAATAAAGATGAAAATAAAGGGAATGAAAGGGACTGTGAAAACTTCCGTCATTGGCCCTTGGCCCCTTCTTTCTCCCCTTTCTATTTAGCTTCCTTAGCCTTTCCCCTTCTTCTATCCTTAGATTCACTTGCTGCCTAAGAGAGAAGCAACTTCGCCTTTTTCTTGTGGCGCGAGCTTCCAGATGTGTAGTTTAGGATGCTTGATGACCATAGTTATATATGCTGCGTGGCGATTATGTAATTAAACTTCGTAGAGTTCTTTCTACGATCCGTCTATTTGCAGTTAGAAGATAGAATTACCTCCGAGTTGATATTATTCACTGCTCCTCAGTGGATTCTATGGTACAAGTCATCCCGCTATGTGACAGATCGATTGATGGATAATTATCTAACAAACCGAACGGGCACATCTGCCAAGCTCAGTTGGGATAATCAATCGACAGAGCGCCACTCGCCTGCTTCAATTCGCTGAGATTTTGTTATGTCTGCTGTGAGGCTCTCCCTCTCTAGGCAACAATTAGGCGGATGAAATATGGAAATGTGAAATGATGAAATTGATGAAATGTTGAAATTGAAAGGATATGAATAATCCACTTTGTGTGGTTGTTGGTGGTTGTGTTAAAACAGACTGAGTTCGTCACCAGTCTCGTCTTGCCTTTATGTTGAGGCCTTGGTTGGCCACCACCTTCCTCTAAGCGGAAAGAAAGCCGCCGGACGGCTAGCTGCAGATTGAAATTGGACCGCTCCGCCGCCTCTTGCTATTACCAATGTGGGACGTTACACCTTGAAAGGTCTCTGTATAAAACCTAGCCATTCCACTATTTGTATGTGTAGATGGTCTGATGTAGTGGGGTGTTGAGAGAGGAAGGGAGGAGAAGGAATAGGGGGAAAGGAATGTGGGAGAGGGGAAAGAATAAGATATGGGAATAGGTGGAGGAATGTGGGGAAGGAAGATAGATGGGGAAAATATGAGAAGGAGAGAGGAAGGGGGGGGAATGGATAAAAGAGTGTGGGAAGAATATATAGGGGAGGATTGAGAAATATAATATGGAGGAAAGGAAATAGAGGAAATATTGCCGCGAAAAAATAGCTCCATTCCAGGGATTGGTCCAGACGAAATAATGTCTTCGTTCTTGTCATTTTGAATTTTGTGAAAGATAAAGAAAAAAATGGGTGGATTGGGAAAGAGTAAAGAAAAGAAGAGTTAACTCTTTATAACTAATTTCTTAAGAAAAAACCTCTCCCAACGGACCCCTTCAGTTTTTGTTATC